GACTTGGGTACCCAGGTTTAGGGCCAGGGAAACATATGTGGAGTGGACCTTGCTGGTCCCTGCTTGGGTCCCTTTGTCTGGGTCAGTGCCACTGTCCCCTAATTGATGCGCTAGTTGTTGCTAAGGGCTCATAGCTGTGCCTGCTCTGCGGAAGTGCCTGCAGCCCACAAGAGCCACTTCAGAGATGCTTGGGCAGATAGTTTACATATCACTTACACATCGCCCATCCACCCACATCACCGGGACAACCAGCAGTCAACAGCCAACGGATCCAGTACCAAAGGCCAGCCCCCGGCCTGAAGTGGGACTACTCTGATACTACAGTCCATGCTCCAGAGCTCCTTGTAACATCAGGTTGAAGCTGGATGCCAGGTAAAACCCCCTCTTTGCTCAGCTTCTTTACCTGTCCTGTCTTGCTTCCTTCATACCCGTATAGCTTTCTCTGGAGATCTTGCCATCAATAATTCGAAAAGAGCCAGGCACGCTGGTAGTCCCAGTGACTCAAGATGCTGAGACAGGAAGATTGCTTGAGCCCAGGAGTTCAAGGCTGCAGTGTGCTGTGATGACACCTGTCAATAGCCTTGCTCTTCAGCCTGGACAACATAGCAAGACCCCATTTCTAAAAAGAACAAAAACAGAAAATTGCCTGAGAGTCCCCATATGCTTCTAAGCAATATGTAAGTTTCTGAGCTCTCTTCTACTTCCTACATCCTGTGTAATGTGAGCGCCATCGAGGGTTCTACGCTTAGCGGCAGGAAAAGTTTGTTCCGGTGAAAAGGACTAAAGTTTCACCTTATTTTTTGACACCATACTGTTTCTATGAGCTAAGAGAGAGGCTTAAAGCAACAACATCCATTGATTAAATATTGACCAGGCATTCACTAGAAGCCTCGCAGCTGCTTGGCCCTAGAGGACCCAGTAGGGAGCAAGAGAAACATAGTTTCTACCCTGATCCTCTAAATTAGGTACAAAGGCTTCTTGGACAACCCCTCAGAGTCCCTTTTGGAGAAATCCAAATGACAATCAATTGAGTACACGAAACCTTCAAAATGCTTTTAATTTCTTTTAATGTATAACAGTTACGCCTGAGTTACAGAGGAAGCGCTTACAAGCAGCAGGTAGTTAAAGCAAATACCAGTTTCTCTTTCTAGTCTACTACTCCATATAGCTGAATAAATTATGGTGCGATTATATTTAAACACACACACCTCACACCCACACGCCCCCACACACACCCCACTCACACTCTCACGCACACCCACTCACTTCCGCATGGGGGGAAATGGCTGTGAGTCAAACACGGAAGCAACCAAGTTGCAGTTACTAGGAAGGAGGAATGATCTAGAGTACTATGTAGATATTTCCCAGGTCAGGGAATTGGCCATGTCAGCGTTGACTTGAAGAAGCATCAAATACACAGAAGTCTCGGAGCGTTTCAAGTTGGCAGCTAGAGAATCCCCATTTGGTCTTGGTTTGGTGCCTCTGCAGGAGGGGAGGAGAGAAGACCTGTGTACCCCTAAAAAGTGTCCAATAGTGTGGGACACATTCGGGAGCTTGATGAGAAGCGTATCAGCCTGAGAGAGGCGCTAGAGAACATCTTCTTTGTTGGGTAATGGAGTTTCACCGAGTCCCAGGATCCAAAATCTGGATGCTTCACCAACTCCGTCTTAAAACACCGGAGGCTGACAGTGTGGTCAAAGTCTGCGACCTGTCCTGTTCTTAAGCCAGAGTCAGATTTCCAATCTGACTCTTGTCATTTTCCTTCTGGGCAAACCTCTCTCTCCATCCGTCTTTCCTTCTCTCTTATCTCCCTAGTTCTCTGTTTGCTCTGCCCTTTCATGTTCCTCTGGCAAAAGAACAACAAAGGTAAATCAAGTATAAAATGGAAGGATAAAAGCATAGCTTGGTTCTTACACATCACTTCTTTTTTTTCTTTATATAGCAAGAGAGAAATACCAAATGAAAAAATAAAACAACAAGAATGAAAGAACCCAACAGAGCCTGGAATGCATAATTTGAAACACACGATATGAAGATATATCCCTACAGATGGTTGCTGGCACTAGCACGACACGCACTGTGGGGATTTCTTTCCTTTTTTAGTATATATATATGTATTTATACAAAGTCAACTTTCTATAAACGAACAGCACATCACCACATTTCCAACTAATGTACAATGAACTCAAAAGAGAGCCCTCCTCAGAGAGGACCAACAGCGACTTGTGATTAAGTTGGAGGAAGCAGCTCTTATTTTGCTACGGACTCTATTTACAGGGATGGATGGGGGTTGTTTCTGGGACAGCCTGGCTGCTGAAATCCAGGCCTTCTTTCTCAGGCTGTGGTCAGCCCCAGAGACATGGAGGCCTTCTGTCTTCTGTCCAACATCACCTCTCTGGTGCTGTTTCGAGCTGCCAACACAAGGCTGAATTTTATAGCCCAAGTTGGCCAGACACATTAGTATACGGGTTTTAGAGAGAACCTATCAGGGTCAAGGGCCTCTTTCTGAAGGGGGTGGGGCCCCTCAAGGAATAAGTCCCATTTTCTACCAAGACGGTGGCTTGGGAGAACTTATCTTCAACATCATGAGAAATCATTTGGTTTATTTCCAAGCAGGTCTTAGTTCCATTTCACCATCGGGGCTAGATATCTGGGATTGGTCCTAACAAGGAAATGTCACCTCCTGGGGGTGGAGCTGGGTGGTTTTGATGTCACCTGTCTGAGATCTCTGCTCCTGAGTCACAGAGGGTGTCAGGAGACTCAGACACTTTCTGAGCCAGGCCTCCGGGGGAAGGACTGACTGTTCAGGGAATGTGGATGAAGAGTATTTGGTCTTCAGGAAGAGCTGCTTTCTGCTGTGATAGCTATAAAAGCAGGGACTGGGCTACCAAGGGACAACAGAGTCTTCTTTTTTGCCTGAGCTTGAAGAACCAAAGGTCTCCCGCAGTGGATGCTCCAGTTGCAACCTTGGTTGACCTTGATGGGTCACACGTGTCTGCTGCTACCAAAGAGTCTGTTTGTCCCCAGTTATTCATAGGTTCCTCTAAACCAGAGATATGAACCAACCTGGTTGTGGTCCAGGAAAGGCTTGATATCACTGACTCTGAAGATGAGAAGCGGGTGAGCATTTGTCACAAAGGTGACGTCCATGCAGGCGAGTGTCCTAGAATCTTGCCAAACCAGCTCCCCAGGAAGGAGGAACTCAGATTGACTCCCAGAGCAGCAGCCCTTCCCTTTAGGAATGTCTTGTTGGCTGAGGGCAAGAGGCATAGATTGAGCAAAGAGGTGGCCTCATGAACCCAGGTGGGGACAAGCAATTTGGTCCAATGTTTGTGAATTCAGTACTGTGTCTCCCATCCCAAGTACTTTGTACCCAGCAGCGCTTGATAACGGTGATGGAATGTGGATTACAGTGACAGTGACGGTAAAGACGAATATGATTTTGATAAATAGGTAAAGGTGGTAAAAAGTTCTCAGGGAAGGGGAACCGGGGGTTTGAATCACCCCCTCAAGGTTCCAGCTCTTAAGAGAATGGTACTTCAGGAGGCCGCTGGTGTGGTCAAGGAAGCAGCCTCTTCTCTCTGCTCTGGAACTGTTGACATCTTCCTCTGCTTAGGGGTGGTAGCTTGAAAACTGGTCCCAGCTGCCCCAGCTCAGCTGTGCTGGATCAGGAGACAGAGGCTCCTTGGCCAAGAGGGAAGCAACATGGAAAGATGCCACTCTGAGTGGGACAATGGAATATGTCCCTACCAACACGCCAGGGGGAATTTGTAGTCTTGTCTGTGGGGCAAACAATCCCTGCCCGGTCCTGAACCCTCCTCCAAAGCTCTGAGGGTTGCTTTCTGCATCCCCAGAAGCTGAAAGGGGTTTGGGGAAGATGGAGGCCTCTTCCTAGAGGATGGGACATGGTGAGCATGGGCCTGGATCTCTGCCGGAGGCTTTGGGCAAAATTTCAACTCCCTGGGGTATGGACTTGCAGGCAGAGAGCTGAAGCCTTGGGCAAAAAAAGGTTTGCCCTCCCATAAGCAATGGGACCTGGTTATGAGAGCCCCTTCTGAGCCCACTTCATGCTCCTCCACTCACGGATCCTCAAGACTTGATCCCCTCTCCATCTCATCTGATCCAGCTAATGAGGACATTGAAAAGTTCTGTGGGCTCCCCAGGCCCTAGATGGGGTGGACATGGTGGGAGCTCGGGCTTCAGGCTAAGAGCCCTCTGCTTCTAGATGCCTGAGTTGGGTCCTTGTAACCTGGGTGGGCCCATGGCTGACAAGCTCCACCCCCACATGGCCCTGCCCTCTGGTTAAGCCTCTTCCGGGCCTCCCCAGTCTCCCTGCCTGTGCTAGATTTCCCTGTGCACCCAGTAGAGGTGTGGGGGGAGCGTTCTGAAGTCCTTCAGATTTCTGGGTGGGGGTGAGACTGTCTCCCTGCTGACTCCTCTGGGAAGACCCCAGAGCCAGGGTCCCCTCACTGCTGGAGTCCCAATGTCTAGAGGAGGAAAGGGCTGTGGTTCTGACACTGAGCCAGAGACCCACATTGGAGGGCTGGCTCCCAGTACATCCAGCTGAGAGCAGCCCTGAAAGCTTCACCTCCAACCTCTAGCTAGGGCACCCACTGGAGCTGGGTCCAAAGGGCTGCAGGACGTCCTCCCAGGCACTGTCCTCCTCTGGGTGCCCCAGGTGTTTAGGGCGGGTCTCGATCTCCATGCCTGAGTGGGCACAGAGGCCACCATGGGATTTGACGGGGAGGGCTGCAGGACAACCAGAAACCCTCCTGGGGGAGAGTGGGGAGCAGACTCCAAGGGCATCACTCTGGATCCCCTTAACCAACAGGTGAGTGACAGGCTGGCTGTCTACCTCTAGGGGGCCGGCGATGAGAAGCGGGCGGGCTCCTTTCCTGGCCTCCTGGGACCCCAGGGGGATGAGGGAGCAAGGCTGGGAGGCTCAGGGGTCAGTTAGGCTTGGGCTGGGAATTGGGCAGGGGCAAGTCGCCCCAGGGGCCCTAGTAGGCCTGTCCAGTTTCCACAGGCAGGAGTCCCAGCACAGCAGAGTGCTCCCCGAGCTTCATGCGACGCTGGGTGGAGAGGCTCACGTTTTTGGCCAGGTAATCAACAGCAGCTGGAAAAAAAGAAGAGAATCTCCTAGAAATTGAGGTTCTTTTTGTTTATTCTTCCATTCACTCTAAATCCATCTATCAATTTATCCATCCTCTGTTTATCCATCTGTTCTTGTATCCATCCATTATCCTTCCATCCTTCTAGCCACTCATTCTCTCATCCAGCCTTCTATCCACTCATTCTCTCATCCATCCAGCCATATCCATGCATCCACCCACCCATCCATTCTGTCCATTTATCCATCCATCCATCCATCCATCCACCATCCTATCCACTCATCCTTCCCTTCCATCCATGCATCTATCTTATCTAATCCTTCTATCCATCCCTCATCCATCCATCTATCCATCCACCCATCCTTCTATTCTATCCACTCATCCTTCCCTTCCATCCATGCATCTATCTATCCATCAATTCTTCTATCCATCCCTCATCCATCCATCCATCCATCCAGCCAGCCAGCCATCCAGCCATCCATCCAGCCATCCATCTCTTCATGAAGCTCATTCTCTCACCTCCTCTCCAATTATTGGGCAACTATCTATTTAATACATTGTGTGCCCAGCTCTCTGGTAAGTTCCTAGGGAGGCACAGAAGATTATCCACATTGCTGAGCAAAGAATTCGCCACCTCTCAACAAACCCACTACATATTCCTGCTATGGAGGAGGCCCTGTGAGTCCCTGAGTTCAGGCAATGATTAGGGCAAGGTCTCTCTGCTTTCTCTATCTGTGCTCAGCTTACAGATAAGGCGAAGCAAGATCTGTGCTGCAAGGCCAAAGCAACTGAGGGTGAACTGAGCGATCCATGTGGAAGAAGCCAGGACACAGATATGCAGGGAGCCGAGACCGACAGCTCTGTCCTTCTGGTCACCCAGAGGACACAGATGAGTGTCTGAGCCTGAGAGTGGTGCATATTTGTGTGTGTGAACAGCGGAAACAAGACTCTACTTGAATAATTAGCCTGCACTTGAATGTCCACACAAGAGCAACGTTTGCACACACATGTGCATATGTGTGTGTGAGTTGTGTGCACCTTTGTGAGTAGACGAACCTTGGGAATGCCAATGCATGTGCGGGTACTATGGACAGGTGAGTTCCAACTGAGCCAGGTACCTGCCTCTCTGTGTGTATGTGCAGGGATGGCCTATCTGAGGTCACAGCAGAAATCAGCCCTGACCAAATGATTTGGCTGGGGTGTGGTCAGGCCCTCCAGAGACACAGGGATGGGGGCTTCCCAAATTGGGGTCTGGGGCTGTGGCCAGTCCAAATCCCAGGGATCTGTAGGATCCAGAAGCCAGAGGAAGATGGAAAGAATACCGCGTTAGGAATTCCGAGGCCCGGCCCGACACTTGTTCTATCACCTCCCCGCGGGGGACCCTATGGCGCCCTACATGCTTCCCCAAGGTTCGGGGTTTCTGCCTAGGGCAGGTGGGTGAAGCCAAAAGGTGATAGGCACGGCCTGAGGACGAGGCCAGGGAGTGCCAATCACTGAGCCATGGGAGGCCGTATTGCCTAGTGGTTCAAATGACGGAGGTTCAAATCCTGCACAGGCCAACTTTTAGCGTGAGGTTTGGGGCATACCACCTCATCTATTCCAACTTCAGTGTCCTTGTCTGTAAAATGGGATCATAATAGCGTCCATCTGAGAAGCTGTTATGAAGGATAAAGGGGAAATGCATACAAAGTGGTTAGCTAGGACCGTGCCGCCACACTGTGAGCTCGAGAGATGTGGGTTTGGAAGCAGCAGGAGACTCGGACTGGGATTTAGTGAGCAAACGTGGCCTTTGATCAGGGCAGGAGGGGATGGGGCGGCAGATGAGGTGGCTGCAGTTCCAGTTACCTCCCGCTCATGTGGCCCTGGGCGCATCCCTTGACCTCTCCAGGCCTGCTTCCTTGTCTGCAGAAGGGAGAAAACAAAGTCCAGCCTCCTCCGGGGCTGCTGCTCTGAGGAAGAAGTGAGTCAGTGATCTTTACGATGTGGGTTACGGAGCATGCAGGGGCTAGGCCCTCAATTCTCGAAGGATGTGCAGATGCCCGGGGGTCTCTCTGGAGTGTCTGAACCCTGTGCCCCTCTGCTTGCCAGGATCCAGGGTGGGTGATGAGAGGAAAGTTAAGCCTACTTAGGGTCTGAGCTGAGTCCCTGGGGGCTGCCAACCTTCCTCTGAAGTCACTTGGCCTCCAGGCTCCGAGTTGGTAGAGCAGAGGCCAGCCTGGCCCTGCCTTGGGTCTGCCCCTTGCTCTGCGTCGGGGTAGGGCCATTCCCCTCTCTGGCCTTGCGGGGACCATGCAGCCCTGGCCACACCAACTCTGCTACTGGGAACCCACTGTCCCCGGGCTCCAGGGTCCACCGCGTTAAGAAGGCTCATTCTTAGAGTGACACCAGGAATGGAAAGAGGAGGAGCCAATGTCTACAGAGAGCCTGCTTATGCCGGTCCTGTTAGAGGCACTTTGTGGTCATTTGCATTTAGTTCTCACAACTCTGTGAGGCTGGTAGTGGTGATATCGGCATCTTACAGATGATGGAACTGAGGCCCTGAGAGACTGCTGCACTTCGAAGATCACACAGTTCATAAGCTGTGGAGCCAGGATTCAAACCCAGGCTGTCTCCCTGGGAGCCTAGCTCCCAGCCACCCCTGCATGCTCCTAGCGAATAACCCTTTGTACATGCACACTTTAGAGTGCATGAGGTACTCTATACCCCAAATTCTGCATTGATCCCATGTTCTGCTGCAGGCACTGTAAGCGATGTGTCCAAGGGCACACCGCCGAGACAGGTGACCCTTTCCCTGAGTCTCAGCAGCCGCTGCCTTCCCACCTTATTTCACACCACACCAGCCTCTCACGCCAACCTCTCCAGCTACTCCTGTGGGTGGGCTGAGAGCTCTGGCTTTTTAAACAATTGATACATAGTATTTGTACGTATTTATTGGGGTACATGTGATGCTTTGCCACATGCATAGAATGCGTAATGATCAAGTCAGGCTGTTTAGGGAATCCATCACATTCAGTATTTATTATTTATTTTCTTTTTTCTTTTTTTTTTTGAAATGGAGTCTCACTCTGTCACCCAGACTGGAGTGCAGTGGCGCAATCTCGGCTTACTGCAACTGCCGCCTCCCGGGCTCAAGCAATTCTCCTGCTTCAGCCTCCCGAGTAGCTGGGATTACAGGTGCCCACCACTACACCTGGCTAATTTTTGCATTTTTATAGTAGAGATGGAGCTTCACCATGTTGGCCAGGCTGGTCTCAAACTCCTGACTTCAGGTGATCTGCCTGTCTCGGCCTCCCGAAGTGCTGGGATTATAGGCGTGAGCCACTGCACCTGGCCCAGTATTGATCATTCCTGTGTGTTGGGAACATTTCAAGTGCTCTCTTCTAGCTATTGTGAGATATACAGTACATTGCCGTTAGCTGTAGACACCCTACTCTGCTATCAAACACTGGAGCTTACTCCTTCTATCTGTGTGTTTGTACCGGTTCGCCAGTGTCTTCATCCCCCTTCCTGCCTCCCTGCCTCGAGTAAACATCGTTCGACTCTCTGTCTCCATGAGATCCACCTTCTTAGCTCCCACATATGAGAATATGTATGTTTGTCGTTCTGTCCCTGGCTTATGTTACTAAATAAAAGGACCTGCAGTTCCATCCATGTTGCTGCGGATGACAGAATTTTATTATTTTTTCTGGCTGAATAGTGTTCTACTGGGTATCCATACACTATTTTCTTTATCCATTCATCTGCGGATGGATACTTAGGATGATTCTGTATCTTGGCCATTATGAATGGAGTTGCAATAAACATGGGAGTGCAGGTATCCCTTTGCTATACTGATTCCTATACTTTGGATAAATACGGTAGTTCTAGTTTTCCCAGGCTTTGAATAATAATGAGAACAACAAAGCGAGCACCCTCATGTATGGCCCACCTACTGTGTGCTGGCAGGCATGACCACATCTATTTCTTTGGACAGCCCCATGGTTTAGGTATGAGCGTTCTCCTTCTATATATGTGGAAACTGAGGCACAGAGAGGCCACTGGCCCGGAGTCATATGCAGCACGTGACATGGAGGAGCTTGCATTGGTCCGGGCTGTGCCTCTGGCCATTCTGTGTGACTTCTCCTTGTCAGCCTCTCCCAGCGACCAGCCTGTGGCCCAGTGCACAGTAGGAGCTTGCCAGGCCCAGTCTAGGTAGCCAAGGGAACTTTCCCAGCGACCTGCCAACTTCAAGGGCACCCAACAGGCCACAGAGCCTGCCTCTCCCCGGGGTGGAGCCGAGGGGCCGGCGAGGCCAGGGCTGTAACATTTCTCATTATGGCCTCCGTCAATGGCCCTCCCTGTCCCTCTGTCTCTCTGCATCTCCCCTCCTCTGCCTCACGCCCGCGCCTGGTCTCTAAATGTCTCAAATTAGATTAATCGGGAGTTGGCAGGAGACATGGTGGTGATGCCAACTGGTAAACAATCTCAGCCGTCAGTGCCTCGTCAGCCCGCGGCCCCAGAGGAGGACCCTTCTAGACACAAATTCTTATTAGACTTGTCAGATCTATTAAAATTCTTTTCACACTTCTGCGTTCTATCAGCCCCATCATTAGTACGGCCCTGGCCTCTGGGAACACCAGGGCCATATTAATCTGCCGTATGCCCCATCCCTGGGCCCCTGCCTCCACCCCTCCAGGGACGACGGGAGACAGACAGGTGGATGGACAATAGCCAGAGCAGGAAAAGAAGGAGCGAAGGTGTCTCTGGGAAGAGGAGAGTCCCTGGGAGAGGAGGAGGAGGACTCGGGGGCCTAAGGGTTTGGCCCGTGTGTATGCTGGTTCTGTGCACACCTGAAGGTGGCTCTCCAGGGATGGGCTGCAGGTGTGGCTGTGTACACATCAGTATGAGCCGCTGGGTGACCTCGGGCACACAGCCTCTCTGAGATCCCATTTCCTCATCTGTCCAATGGGAATAACCACGTGCGCTACATAGGGTGGTGTGAGGATGAAATGCCAGACCCATAGTAGATGCTCAATAAACAGTCATCCCTCCTTCCTTTACACACGCACATTTTGTGTATTTATATCTTAAGGCTACATGTGTACACACATCAGTGAACACTCACATATAAACCCCTCTCTCTGTGGTGCATCTGTCCATATGCAGGCGTCTGTGAAGCCGTGGACGTGAATCCACACGTGGGTGGGCTCAGGTGTGTATTGTTGTTGAGTGGCCTCCACAAATCTGTGGCTTGACGTTAAGAGACTTTGGGTCCACCATTGCCATGGTGTGGGATTTTGGAAAAGCTACCTAGCCTCTCTGAGCCTCGTTTTTGCATCTGCAACCTGGGGACAAATAACTCAGAGAATGACATGAATGAGGAGCACGCATTTTGCCCAGTGCCCTAGAGGATGAAGTTGGGCAGAGGACAGGTGTCAGCGGATGACAGGTGGACCTGGGCATACACAAGCACGGTCCGGGACATGGGACTCCTGCACACATGCTGGGCATCTCAGCCACAGACGTGTTCAGGTGCCAAGGGGTGTGGTGCCCATGGTTAATGGGAACACAATGTGTCTCTGGGCCCGCAAAATGCCAGAGGAGAGGAGGTGGTGCAATGGAAACACTTTAAGATGGCTAAGTCTACTCTGTGGCCTCCATTTCACAGATGGGAAGACTGAGGCTCAGAGAGGCAAGTGTGTGGCTTGCCCGCACTAATTGATGTCAGAGGAGCGGACTTTTCCTCCAGCTCTTCCCTCCCAGCTCAGGCCAGGAGTCTCTGTGGGGTCAGGTGGGGTCTGTGTAGGGGTCGCTTTGGGGAGGGCTGGAGAATGTGACCAAGAAGAGCACAAGCTCTTCCTGGAGAAGCGAGGGCAGCAGGAGTGGAGCTGGAAGGGGCGTGGGAGGAGGAGAAGGGATGGAAGGAGAGGCTGGAAAAGAGAAGAATGGAGTTGGGGGAGGGGGAGGAAACTGCCCTGCCTGGCTTTGCCCAAGCAAGAGGAGAACAAACCCTCCTTTCTCGCCTCCTAGGCCTCTTCCCTTTTGATCCCGTCCCCTGCCACCCCCATGCTGACTTTGGGGTTAATTTTATTTCCGTATTGAGCAGGCGCCCCGGGAGCAGGGCACCGAGCTCGGGTGTGACTAACGCCTGCCCCAGGCCGGGGCTGCCGCTGCCGCTGAGGTCACTCTAAAATCTTTATCAAGAGCATGTGTGTCCCGCTCCATGCCCAGGAACATGGGCTGGGTCAGGAGGTCGCCCAGGGACCCTTTAGAAACAGTCCCCAGCACATGCATGCACCCAGCTCTCAAATATACATGTATACTCCCGCGCGCGCGCGCACACACACACACACGCACACACACACACAGAGTTATACACACAGAGATGGTATATGTCTACACCGAGATGTACATCCATACACATGTGCTCATGGCCACACCTATGACATGCCCAAACATACACTCACCCCCATTTATACACAGCACATAGAGTATATGTGTTCACACACAGGTACTCCCAAACACACAATCACAGACACACTCAAGCATGTGTACACGCCTCAATGCATAGCTATGCACATGTACATACAGTCACATGTTTGCACACTAACGTACATCTATACACACACATGCATGTTTATTATACATATCTACATATTGACATATGCATAAAAACATGCAGGCACACATAAAGACACAAACACATACAGACTTGAATGGACATTTAAACATATTTGTTTAAGCAGACACATACATATGTGTGCACATGTGTGTTCATACATACAAACAGATGTAACACCACATGTGCACAAGATGCTCATTTCTGTGCATGTGTGTGAACAGTCCTATACACGTATGCCCACATGTGCCCACTGACACACACCTGTACTCACATATATGCAAAGACACATGCAATAGCACATGGATTCTCACATACTCAGAGGCATCGCATGCACACAACACATGCAGACACACACACACAGGAATTGTAACATGTCCTGACACATGTACTCACACACACCCATATAGACATGTGTACATACAGATATGCAAGCATGTGCATGCGCAGGAAGGGTCGTGAACACAGCTGGGAGGTGCAGGCTGACACAGCTGGCCCTCATTTGGCAGTGGAGGCCAACACCATGTGAGGAGGAGTGGGTTGGGGCGGGCAGGAAGCAGAGGTCAGAAAGGCTGGCCCAAGGCTGGGCTTGGGGAGAGGACACCCTCCGGGATGGGGGCCTGGCCCTCTTGCCACACGCCCTTCTGATTGGTTTGACACCAGCAGATGAGGCCTTTGTAGGGAGGTGGGGCAGGAGAGTGACCAGTGACCTCTGGCTCCTTGTCACATCTAGGTCTGCCCGGCTGCTGGCCTTGCCAGGCAGCAGAGGCTATGTCCAGGCCTGCATTTTCCAGCCTTTGGTCCGAGGGTCCACCGTCCCTGCCTCAAGGCAAGGCACCAAGGGGATAGCAGCTGGAATGGGTGTGTGAGCCCACTGAAGAGTCTGGAGTCGAGGAGAGAGCTGGAAACGCAGCTTTCCCATGCCCTGGGCAGAAAGGGCAGGGTCTCCCACTGAGCCATCCAGCACCATGGCCACCAGCAGCACATGGCTATCGAGCACTTCAACTGTGGCTAGTGCAACCGGGGGAAGCGAATTTCAAATGTCAATTTCACATTCACTCATTCAAAACTAAAAACTGATCTTCAGTTATCTGGTGGTTTGAAAACTTGCAATTTGGAACACTTTGGGTGTATAGGTCTATTTTCTCAATTGTAAACTACATGAAATGGAAATGTAGATTGAGTCTTTCGGCTGAAAACTCAGTGCCCGAATTAAAACGGCTGTGAGTGTGAAACACACATAGGATGCCAAAGACATAGCATGAAGAAGAGAATGTAAGATATCTCCATAAATATATATGAATTGCATTTTGAAATAATAACCTTTTGGATGTACTGGGTTAAATAAAATGCTAGTAAAAATAATTCCATTGTTTCTTCTTTTTTTTTTTTTGAGACAGAGTTTTGCTCTGTCACACAGGCTACTCTGTCACACAGGAGTAGAGTGCCATGATCTCGGCTCACTATAACCTCCGCTTCCCAGGCTCAAGTGATTCTTGTGCCTCACCTACTTGAGTAACTGGGATTACGGGTGCATGCCACCAAGCCTGGCTAATTTCTGTATTTTTAGTAGAGACAGAGTTTCACCATCTTTACCAGGCTGATCTTGAACTCCTGGCCTCAAGTGATTCGTTCTCCTCAGCCTTCCAAAGTGCTGGGATTACAGGCACTAGCCACCATGCCTGTCCTGTTTATTCTTACCTTTTAAAATGTGGCCACTGGAAATGTCAAATGATATTTGTGTCATGTATTATATTTCTGTTGGAGCCCTAGCATGGGAGCAGGGGCTTGGCCAGGAGATGTCCTGGGTTTTGCCCAGTTCAGTGTCAGTTTAGGTGAACTATTCCTCTGGCTGAACTTCAATTTTCCCATCTGTAAAATGGACAATCCCCACACCGACACCACCCTGTAGTTCTCTACAGATAAGCGGGAGGCCCTGGGGAGGAGGAGAAGAAATGGGGAGGGGGGATGCCCAGGGCACCAGGCACTCACTCTGGCCATACTGGCCGTACTGATAGCCGGCCACGGGGTCCACGCTGTAGCCGGTGGTGCTGTAGGTGGGTGGGCAGTAGGCCTGGGAGGTGGGCAGGCTGTCTCCGGGCTTGATGGAGTCGGCCCGCTGGCTGCAGCTGGCTGAGATGGAGGTGGCCGGGTCCAGGCCTCCGTGCAGCGGCGAGATGGAGAAGTCGGCCTGTGGCTGCGGGGGCACCGCACTGGGGTTGCTCAAGATACTCATCACCTGCGGGGAAAAGGTCATTAGTGCCAGGCTCAGCTGACAGACCCCAAAGACACAACGCCCAGCTGGCCCTGGACTGCTCTTGGCCGGAGCTGTTCCCTTGAAGTTGCTGGAGTGTTGAGATCCTTGGTTTACCCGATTTGCGTGCCCTCATGCGGGTTTTCAGTGTTTCTCTTGAAGGAGGGTCCCGAACCAAAGGTCCTCCTTCCACTGGGTGTTGGGTGAGGCCTTACTCTAGCTTCAGGGCCTGGCTCTAAGGGGCACGCTGGGCCTGTCTATTGAATGCATGCATGCATGAACCAACTGGCTAATGATGCCTCTCCCATCAGTCAGGGAGTTCTCCCAGCTCAGAGAACTGTGCCTCCCCCATTACACCGGGATGCCCCCATCTTCTAGCATTTCAGGAGGACTCTGATCTGTCCAGCATCACTGTGCTCAACTTTCTCTGCCCACCACTTCTCTGGACTCTGAAGCTCCTGCCCCTTCAACACCAAAGCCCTCAGCCAATGTTTCAGAGCCTCTCAGGTCCCTTCCTTGGATTCTACCAGCTCCTGAGGTCTGCGACCGTCCTCTCCTTCCCTGCCTGGTCAGGTTCCACAAGTAGGAACTCGCTGTCAGAGCTGGCAACACAGATTAGCAGGGGAGGCTTGTCTCTAGAAACTCAGCTTAGGGGGCCTGGGTGGAGATTCAGGTGTTTACTGACTGGGACGTTCACTTATTTGCTCCACAAATGGGCATGGATGGTGACTCTGGCCCCAGGCTGAGAGCTGAAGGCTCTGGGACTTCAGAGGAGAAAGAGTCATAGTCCCTGCCCTCAGGGGCAGGAGAGGAGGAGGAAGGGTCTGGGTCCAGCGAGGGAGGCTACTAGCAAAGTCCATGGAGACTTGGAGTAGTGATACAGGCTCTTACCCGTCAAACGACGCAGAGGCGGGCATCCCGCCATCCCTGGCAGTCTGGGAAACCTGGGGGAGGTGGCACCTGCTGTCCAGCTCTCCAGGAAAGAGGGTGGGGAAAAGCAGTGCTTTCCTGTGGGGTGGGGCTGGGGTGGTGTTGAAGGAGTCCCTGCAGCGTGAGGGGGCACAGTGTCCCTGCCAGTCCAGAGGAGAGCAGGGAGAGGACAGGAGGGAGATGCAGGTCCTTGTGACCCTGACCCGCACGGCCCAGGTCCCTGATGACCTGCTGGCGATACCACCCCTTATGGGAGGAAGACCCTGAATATAATGAGGTGGGATTGGCTCTGCTGATAATCTACCCAGCACTGAGATGGAGAAGCTCGTGGCAATCCCTGCCGGCCACACAGTCGTGTTCCCTGACTCCCCATCCAGGCTAAGAAAGCAGGCTGTGGGCATCCAAGCAGTGATCGTTTTGCCAACTAGACACCTGAAGATTTTAATCTTTGCCTTTATGATTGGCCTGTTCCACAGGCATTGAGGCCTGGCCACAGGTGAGGGCATGGATGGATTCCCTGGGCCAGGGACAGACACCAAGCTCCTCCACTTACCAGCTGCGTAACCTCAGGAGTCTCTCTGAGCAGTTAACTCATTTGATCTCCCAACCGAAAACCCCACTGAGATGTGTGTGGTGGAGCTAGGATGCCCATTTCCCAGATGAAAAAACTGAGGCCTGGAAAAGGGCTGTGGCTTCCCTAGATCTCACAGCAGGTCCAGGGCTCAGTTCGCCTGACCCTGGTTCACCTGCAAAATGTCAAGTTTGATTCTCAAGAATGAATGAGGTTGAGGCATCTGATCACGTTAGAGGGTCTCACTCCAAGGACCAGCAGTAGTGTGTTTCCTGGGCAGCTGATGCGGGGCTGAGGGGGGCTGGGTTCCTTACTCTGGGGAAACTTAGGTCCTCTGGAGGGCTTTGAGCAGAGCCTTTGCCTGATTCTTTCCCTCATGCCCTCAACCCTGGGGGTCTCCCCTCCTCCATCTTTTCCCTCTGTCACTGTCCTCCCAGATCCAGAGCCCAGAACTTAGGCCAGCTGGGGCTGTCTGCTGGCTGGTCTTCATCTTCACACAGCTGGGGAGATTTGAGTAAGACATAAGGGTGGGTTGACCTCATCAAGATGGCAAAGGCACACTGGGATGGGTTTGCAAGAAGGAGAGAAAGTCTGCCCAGGAGGCTGGGCTAGGCAGCGTCTGGAGTGCTCTGGACACTAGCGCTGCTTTAGGGAGCTGAGGTCTCCCCAGCTTGCTCTGTTGACTGTGCTTCTGAGGCCTTTGTCATGACTGGGTCAACAGCAGGGTGCTGGGTGGTACACGAGGGCTTCTGACACTGCAGGGCTGCGTTTGCTGCTTCCTGTCTGTCACGCTGGGATCTCCTTGGCTTGAAGAATGTGCTGGGGGCCTGGGAGGAGAGCTGGGTCCCAGGACAAACTCAGGCATCTAACTCTGCCCTGGGGTTCTCAATCTAGGCCTTTTCCCACCCATCTCCTTTCTGACCCAACACAAACGAGGACCCTGTTCCCTGCTCAAAGGAGGCCTGGGCTCCAAGAATAGACTTAGATGCTCAGACGGGCTCCACATCCCCTCTTTCAGAAGGGTTGTCGTCGAGGACTGGGAGGCTCCTGGGAGGATCTGACAGCTCCCATGAGACCCCAGTTTGATCCTTCCCTCCTGCCTATCCGCAAGATGCCAACCCAGATGGGATGATGAGAGGGGAGGAATGGGGGGACGGTCAGGAAGAGGATGAGGATGCTTTGGGACAGGCTGAGAGCTGTGCGTAGACCCACTACTCATCCTCTAAGACAGAGGCCTACACAGAACTGCCGCCCAAGCTGACTATATCACTCAAGAATTATCAATGGCTCCCTAGTACCTCCCAACAAAAGTTTCTCCTGACCAGACCTCTAGTTGCCTGTCCCAACTCTCTTCACTCCTCTCTACCTTGCACTTTCTATTCCAGCTATCCCCAACAATGTGTTATTTCTTGAAGATATCCTTTATTCATCCATGTATTCATCCAACGAGCATTTCATAGAGTGCTACTATGTGCCAGTCTGGAGCTAGGGCTGGACTACCAGCTCTTCAAGAACAGGATGGAACTGCGTTTTGTCCATCTCTGTAGCCGCAGTGCCTACATTGTGCTTGCTACATATTCTGAGCTCAGAAAACCTCTGCTGAATTCACGCACATTCCTTTAACAAATAATTACTGAGCACCCATTATATGCCAGACGCTGAGCCAGGCGCTGGGGACACAGCCATGAAAAATGCCAATCCCATGCCCTCCTGGAGCTATCTGCCTAAGAAACAACGCTGACTTAAAACAAGTGAACAAATAATATAATTTCCGACACCGATCAATTCTACGGAGGAAAAGCAAGCGGCAATGTGGGGTAGTCAGGCAAGACCTCGCCAAAGACGTGGTATCCAGCAAGACCAGAAAGAACAGCCCCGAGAAGACGAGGCAGGGGAGTTTTCCAGGCAGAGACATCAGCAGGTGCAAAGGCCCTGAGGTCCCTGCGGTTGAGGGGGCTGAGCCACGAGATACACCCTGCAGGTTTAGGAAACAGCAAGAAGGTGAATGTGGAGAGAGTGAAAACTCCAGGAGCTGCAGGGGCTTGTGCAGTCCTTTCTCAGAAGGGGCTTGGGTGGTGCCCAGTGGCTCAGGAGGGCCTTGGACCCTGGGCCGTGAACAGGCAGCTCAGAAACAGCTTGGGTCCAGGAGCTTTTCCCGTAATGGGATTTGCTCAGTGGGATTTGCCCTGGACCATCAAATCAAATCCACATCGGGGGAAGGTGTGAATGGGGGCTGTGTGGCTGCGGCTCACTCTCTTCCAGAGTCCCTGGGGGTCTGTGGATCAAAGGGTTTCCATTTCATCCAACCTCCTGTCTCCAGGCAGGGCAGCATGTAAGCTAATGGAACAGGACCCAAGTGGCGAGCGGCGGGAGGGGAGGACACTCATGGATGAAGACTGCAGGGCCCGAGTTGTGCATGGGTCACTTCATGGACTCCTCGAGCAGATAGGGTATCATTACTCCCATTATGCAGATGGGGAAACTGAGGCACGGGGAAGCAAAAAGGCTCATCCACAACCACACAGCTGGGAAGTGGCAGAGCTGGGATTTGCACCCAGGTCTCCCGGGTCCCCAGCTGTGCTCTTGCCCCACCACCAGCTGCAGAGCACCCGGGGAGAGGTCTGGCAACCTCACTGCACAGAGCCCCACGGGCCTACATGACCCTCGCTGGCCTCTGGCTTCCCCAGGACCTCCAGGGCTCCCTCCTGGCCTGCAGAAGCAGGAAGCATTGGCCCACCGCTAGGAGCCCAGCCGAGGTCTGGAGCCTGCAAACTTTTGAACCTGAGGAAGTCCAGGTCTGATGCAGTCATCTACCCACCCTCAAGAATGCTAAGGCCTCTCCCCGGGTGGGTCTTACTTTTTTCCCGGTGACCTTGCTTTCACTAATGTATTACTTCTTGGTACGTTACCGTTACTAACTCAAAATCAATACCGACCTCCACATCTGTAAGGTTTTATCTGAAGGCAAATCTCAGGGCTGTCCATCAGGCTGACGGACAGCCATCCCTTCCTCTCCCTTCCTCCTCCATTTCCCCCCACCTGCCACGGCCCCCACCCAGCCCCCGACCCCTTCCTCTCCCTCTGCTCCAAATCAGTCCCAGCCTCAACCAGACTAAATCAATAAGGGCCCTGCCTCACCCTCCCTTCCGCCCGCTGGGGAGAGGCTTGCTGGTTTAAGGGTGGGGGACCCCCCCTTCCACAGCCTCTGCTCACCGCCCCCTCCCCGGGGACGTGCCGGCGCGCTCCTCTACTTTAAAAGAAGGGGATGGGAAAAATGTAATTAATTCCCTCCGTTCCTGAGCTGGCCCCGAGGGCCTGGGACTGTGGAGGCTGAGCTGCGAGAGCTGCACCCTCTGTGATAACCGAACGTGGCTTTGGGAGTGCGGCTGCAATTAGAAGGGCGATCGCCATCATCCGGCTCCGTGGCAGGGTTTGTGGTGGGTGGGTGGAGGCCGCAGCAGGGTGCAGAGGGAGAGGGAGGCGC